AAGGTTCATCAAGCTTTCATAGAATGTTTAATGTTATTGAGATTTGAGTCTTTTGAGACTGCAGGGATTTGCTTTTGTCTTAGCCCGACTAGCTGTCAGTTTTAGTACCAACTAATCTAGACCCATATTACATGAAGACAACAGAGTCATCTACTGCAAGTAAGGTAATAACTGCTTACAACCTATCATCAGTATCACACTTTCACTATGGTTTCGAGAAAACAAACCAATGTGCTTTCCTGGGGCATGTTGGTGAGGAGGTCACTGATCCAGGAGCAAAGTGATGTGGATAAAACAAGATTGTGAGGCTTCAGAACCACCATGTCAGAAGGTAGAGTGGGCTGAGCTAAAGTTGATGGATGGCATCCTAAAATGTGTTAGAACAACAATGTTGGGACTCTGTTCCTGTAGTGGCTCTGAAGCAGATCCCTTCACTATCCTCTGTGAGGCCTCTTTGACCTGCATATTTTGGATTTGGTACCATGCTGACATGTCGCATTTAAAAATAGTTGCTAGCAGTACTCTGCAGGATGCAGTGAGGATATTAACAGAGGGTCTAATGAAGAATGTTCAGACAGAAATGCTAATTTTCCAACCTGACAAATGCTCAGTTGAATAACTCTGGAATGAAATAAAGAATTACAACTTAAAAAAAAAAAAAACTAAAAAAAATGTGACCAAAGAGAGAATGCTCTAACTGGTTTTATCTTTACGGGGTATTTTTAAAAAAAAAAAATTTTAATAATACTTGAGTTATTTATGTACAAGCACAATAGGCATGCACGAATTGTCTTCACTGACGTGGCATGCTACACTTCTCACAAAACTTGACTTTTTCTATTTGACTGTTACAGATATGTCACAATTAAAGGTAAAGATGTACTGCATGAGCACAGGAGGCAGTTTATCCCAAATAAGAATAGCACCATAAGACACATAAGCTGGGACAACTATAGTTAACATCAGAGAAGTGAGGGTCAGTAATTCGACTCTGACAAAAAGATACAATAAAAAGATATAAATACTTGTTAGAGTCAAATGAGTCAGTGGAGACTGATTCCATTAATTAAAAAGAATACATAAAAGGAAGACATAAAGCTACAAAAAAAATAAAACAAAGTAATGGCATTGATTTAAAAAATGTATTCCAAAATCCACAATTAACTGTGTTTGATGACTCTCTGGGCATGCTTCCTTTGTCGTATTAATCTAATAAATGACTAAAACAAACTTTCAGTGTACTTCAGTGAGCAAAATGTTGACATTTATTTTCCTTTTTATTCATCAATTATTTGCTTTTTATTCATCAATTATTTGCTGTTTGGCTATTTGTTGTTTTGGCACATAGAAAAATCTCCACAGTACAATAACTTTCCCTCTCCAGAGTCAGCTGTTAGGACATTTCAGTTGGTATAAAACGATCTCTTGTTTAGCACCATCCAAATCACATATCCAAATTGAGACAGTTGATTTTGCATTATTTTTTAAATAATTGAAAATAGGACAGAGCAATGTTTAATAGAGCTGCCATTTTTTTTTACTGCAGTTTCTAAAATTTGTCCTGTCATATGCATATGGAAGTAATGTAAAAATGTTGGTACTTCTGACATTTTCAGTGGTATTAAAAGATTTACTGAGCAAAGGTTGTTTTTTTTTGTGGTGCAAACCTAACTGGGAAAAATGTAACAAAATCCACCATTTTGCAAATACTGTCCAGTGCTTTTCTTTACTCATAGTTTGATAGGAAGCTCAATAGCCTTCAAGCTGAATGCAAAATATTCAATACATGGTCTGCAGGTCTCTTTAGGTTTTTATCTAGTCTACTTACTGTTCCTGACAGGTGAACTCTGAGGTTTTTGTTGTTTTTAAAAATAAAGTATTTAGCATAGCTATAAGTATAACTGGAAAAAGTTGCATACAAAATTACAGCCTCTCACAAGAATTAGTGCTTAAACTTAAATCACTCCAAAAACCATGAATTTGAATTTAGGATGACACATTATGATGATTATGAAGATTCAAATAGTATACTTACATTCGGCCATACGCTCCATGGCCTTATAAAGTCCATCTGATGGAGGACATACAGAGAGGCATGCAATGCAAACATGGGGGTATGTACATCCAATGTAGAACATGATTCCTTTTAATCATTAAAGTCGTCTTTCTCTGCTGGTATGCATACACACACCTGTATGCCATAACATTCATTGGCATATGCATGCTTGAAAGTCATACTATGTGAAAAATTGTCCAAAAAAGATTTGCTAAAATGTAGTTGGTTAATGATACAGAGTTTTACATGTACTGAAGTACACATATGTCATTCTTATGGCAGAAAGCTTTATTCTTTACTTGTGATGCAACACTAGCATTTTGGGTTAAAGAGAGAAGTACATGGGGTAGGACTCTATATGTTTTTTAAAACTTCTTCCTACTCAACTTGAGCAGTTGTGCTTTGTTTGGTATTTAAGTATGCATACCACTATTTTTCTACTTTAGTTTGTTTTGTTGTTTTTCATTTGCTTAAATAAATTACCACGGTTTAGAATAATTACTTGACAATAATACCATGAGAACTGAGAATAGGTCGAAAAGCACAAATATTGACTGGTAAAACGTATTAACTTGGTCAACACTGATAACAAATCCTTTTGAGGTTTTAATAGGGATTTCCCGATCCGATATCAGTCCGATATCAGGCAAAAATAATATTGGATTATATCAGCCTGCACCTAAAATATCTGATATTGGCATAATGACAAAAACACTGCTTCATTCTAAAGTTCAAGTAACCCATTGATTAATCATCAAGTTTTTTATCTATCTTTTTTATCTGTCAATTCTTAAAGGTCCAATATGAGTATTTTGTTGGTAAAAATTTTTATATATATATATATATATATATATATATATATATATATATATATATATATATATATATATATATATATATATAT